GTTTAGGGGGGGGGGCGATGACTGACAAGAGATGATGGATGGATGGGGCGTGGCGCGGGTGGGATGTGCTGATAGTCCAAGCGCGGACGGGGTAGAGGTCGGGCATCGGGACTGCGGGCGCGATCTACAAAGAAGGCGACGATCGGAGGCAAGAAGTCGAGCAAGGCCAGGGGGCGGGGAGGCGGACGGGGCAAGCGCGGGACGAGCAGAAAGCGTGGAGTGGGCCGGAAGCGTGGGACAAAGAAGAAGCGCGGCGCGGCCAAGAGACGACGTGGTGCGGCGGCGCGGAGAGCAGCGGCTGCGGCGGAGCGAGCTGGCCAGGAATCGCCGTCGGCGCGGCCGCCTGAGCCGCAGAAGGTCGTGGTCGAAGTGGTGCAGCAGCCGGCGACGCAAGCTGCGCCGCAGGTGGTTCACGTCGAGCCAGGGCCCGCCACTGAAGTTCACCACTACCACACAACCCGTGAAGTGATTGCCTCGCCGAGCGGGCCGGCTGGCGCCGAGCTAGAGCCGGTCATCGGGCAGGTGCGGTCCGAGTGGCGCTCCGAGCTGCAAAACATGACTGCGGCGCAGGAGGCCGAGGCGCTGCGGACACACTCGACAATGCGCGAAATGGTCATGTCGGCGTCGGGACAAGCCGACTCGCTCGCGCTGCGGCTCTCGCAGATCGAGCTCGAGTCCAAGATGCGGATGGACGACGAGGAGGCGCAGCTGGAGGCGACCCAGCGCCAGGTCCGCGACCTCCAGACAGAGCTGCACAAGACTCACGAGGCAATGCAGGCGACCCAAACTGCCATGGTGGCGCGGGTGTCGCGGACCAAGCGTCTGAGCTGGACCCTCGCCGTCGCGCTCTTCCTCCTCCTACTCGCCCTCGCCGTCCTCACGTATGCCTACATCACATGAAAACAAAGATCCCTCCTTCCGGTGCTCAGCGACTAGGAAGGGCTCTGGCTTTATCGACCGTGATCAAACACGTGCTACAGCAGCAGTGGCTCAGCGGCTTGAGCCGGCAGCTCAGCTGAGCGGCTCAGCAACAGTTAAGTTAGTACGGATCGTCTTCATCGCGCCAGGGCAGGCCAGTCTGGAACGATCCAGTCGACTCAAACGGGCGGAGGACGCCGGCCTGAGCCGATGCCACAAAGTCGACGGCGTCTGCAGCCAGAATGTCCTCTGTTGCCCGCTCCCGCTGCGCAGCCGCCTCCTTGATGACCTTTTCCGACGGCGAGTACATAGTTGCGTTCTATACACCCATTACCTCACCATGTGTGAGTATGGCGACATGCTGTCCTTACTGACTGCCATTGGCGCGCGCGGGGAGGGGGGGGGGGTTACGGCTGGCAGGCGTCCGTTGGCCGGACGGACGGGTTCGGGGGAAGGGGATGGAGGGCAGAGGAGGAGAGGAGGATGTGGATACGTACCGGAGGCATGGCAGCCATGGGCTCACGAGCAAGACCAACAGCAATGTTGGTGGTGACCTGGAACTTCTGGCGGATGTCGTCCGACACGGATCCCGAGGCCATGGTCGTCAGCGAGTTGAGTGAGTGCTGCTGTTGTTGGCAATTCGGGCGGCGCTCGGTCTCTGGCAAAGTGGCGCAAGAACAATGGTCTGGCACAACATCGGGGTTGTTTGAGGGCAATCCACGCGTAGTGAGGGGAGAGTGAGCTGTGTCTGATCGGTGCGCTTGCTACGGTGCGCTTACTACCGAGCAAGGCCATCACGATCAAGAAGATGGCCATGAGGGGTATGACGCCCGCAACCGCATGAGCAAGACCATTCTTGTGACTGATCGCTGTCTTGTTGGACGATGTGGACGATGTGCATGATGTGCGACTCTGATCTCAGCTGATGGCCAGCATGTGGTAGCCGTAGCAGCCATGATGGCACCCGTGGAGGCATTGCTGTGGTCAAGCGGGTCAAGTGACCGTCTGTCGGCGACCATCTTTCGGTCACTCACACCAGCTGAAGGGCCACTCCACGCCCGACCACACCACTTGCGACTCGACCAACCATGCCCAAGTCCAAGCGCCAGAAGCTGTGTACGGTACATGGGAGAGGGAGGGAGGGGGAGGAAGGTGTAGGAGGGAGGGAGGGGGAGGGGATGGGGGGGGGAGGGGGGAGGAGGGAGAGGGAGAGGGAGGGGGAGTGGAGGATGGATTGGGAGATGGCAAGAGGTAGTGGAGACAGGGGGGGGCATAGGAGGGGGGGGATGGGGGAGATGGGGGGGGGATAGGGGGATGGGGGGATGGGGGGATGGGGAAGGGACTTATGTATGTGGGGATTGATGGGTGATGGTGATGGGATGGCTGGATGGCTGGGATGGCTGGGATGGCTGGGGGGGATGGCTGACTGGCGGACGGACAACGAACGAATACAATGGAATGATAACAATGGTGGTGTTTGTGGTGGTGTTCATCGACGGCTATGATGATCATGGTGTCGACTCCTACTACACTGCTGCGACGACCGCTGCTGTAACTGCTGCTGATTGATGTCGGGATAACAGACTCGCTGACGTCTGTGGCCAAGGGCGGCCGCGAGGCCAAGTCCCAGCTCATTGATACCATCCGCGAGGCAGCGGGCAACTTCCCGCGGCTGCTGCTGGTGCAGGTGTGGAACATGCGCAATGCGTCGCTGAAGGAGCTCCGGATGCGGTGGAAGCCCGACTCGCGGTTCTTCTTTGGCAAGCACGCCGTGATGCGTGTGGCGCTCGGCCGGACGGCTGAGGAGGAGATTGCCGAGGGCATCTCCAAGGTTGCCAACGCTATCCGGACCGGGACTGGCCTGCTCTTCACCGAGAAGAGCCTCAAGGAGGTGCAGGACCACTTTGACACCATGCAGGAGGCGCACTACGCCCGTGCCGGCACAGAGGTCTACGACACGATCACCATCGAGGCCGGCCCGCTCACCCAGTTTGGCCACTCGCTCGAGCCGCGCCTCCGCCAGCTCGGCCTGCCCACCCGCCTCAACAAGGGTGTCATCGAGCTCCTCGAGACCGTCGACCTCTGCGCCGCAGGCGATGTCCTCTCCTCGGAGCAGGCCGCGCTCCTCCGCCTCTTTGACCACAAGCTCGCCCTCTTCCGCATGCAGGTCGTCGGCGCATGGGAGGCCGAGTCGGGCAAGTTTGTCGACATCAGCCCCTCCCCGCCCCAGGTCACCCGCTCCATCTCTGGCCAAGCTGACATGGCTGAAGAGTAAAGTCGTGATAACCCAGCCTCTTGTCGGGCGCCCTCCCTCCTCTGCCAGTCGCCCGCCCACGACACTTCTCTCGCTCCTCCTGATGGCTGCAGGGAACCATTTGACGATTGCGCGCGGGAGGAGCCACATCAATGCAGATCAGCTTCAGGCGTATCTGTTCGGATCGAGTGAGGCGGTGGCGGCGCATGAGGCGGCGGTGGCGCTGCTCGAGTCTTCCGAGCACTCGTGGATGGTGGACGACTCGCTGGTGGATGCCGACGTGGCGACGGTGCGAGAGGAGACGCTGCGGCGGATTGTGGCGGGGAACAAGCTGGTGAAGGAGCTTGGCGGCGTCGAGGCTGACGAGGGAGTGGCGAGGGCACTGGCTCGCTTGCTGCACATTACCGACGGCGCCCTGTCGATGCGGTGGGGCGTGCACAGCGTGCTCTTCGCCGAGGCTGTCCGCATTCTGGCCTCGCCAGAGGTGGCGGGCGAACTGGCGGAAGCCATAGCCGACATGGATGTCATCGGCTGCTTTGCCATGACCGAACTCGGATGCTCGTCGTACCTTCGTGGCATTGCCACGGTGGCGGTCTACCATCCGGCTCAAGACGCCTTTGTCCTCCACACCCCGTCTCCGCTCGCCACCAAGGTATGGATCGGGATGGCGGGACAGAGTGCGACGCACAGTGTGGTGCTTGCTCGCATGGCAGTGGCCCAGCCTGGACGCAAGCTCGAGTGGCTGGGCCTGCAGTGGTTCCTCGTCCCCATCCGCGACACGGTGACCGGCGCCCCGCTGCCCGGCGCCACCATCGGCGACATGGGTGCCAAGATGGGCCGCCATGGCCTGGACAACGGCACGCTCTCATTTGATGCGATGGTTCTGCCGAGCAGCGCGCGGCTTGCCCGGTTTGCCAGCCTTGAGCGGAGCAAGGATCCCGGTACACCGTCCGGTTGGGCCGTCCGCTTCTCGCCATCGCCGCTGGCGCAGATGGCGTATGCTGTCCTCATCACCGAGCGGGTGACGGCGGTGCGGTCAGCGTGTGACACTCTTGCCATCGGCGCGACCATTGCAGTCCGCTATGGATATCTGCGGCAGCAGGGCCCGCCTTCCATCGACAACATTATGGCGTACCCGTCGTACGCCGGACGGGCGCTATCGCTGGTGGTTGACGCTCTCGCACTGCACGCCTCGGCGGCTCAGCTAGAGGCCGGTCTCGCGGCGCTAGACGCCATCCGCGAAGCCGACGACATGGCCATGTACGCCAGCGGTGTGAGTCTCCTGCACACATCGTCGGCGTGTCTCAAGGCGTACGGTGGGTGGCTGGCAAACGATGGGCTCGAGACTGCGCGCCAATGCCTCGGCGGGCATGGCTACTCTGCTTACAACAACGTGTCGACGCTCATCACTGACTGGGCCGTCTTTACCACTGGCGGTGGCGACAACACTGTCATGGGCCTACAGACGGCGCGATTTCTTGCCAAGCTCGCTCTCGACCGCGATCGCGCTCCTGACCGGTTGGCAGACGCCCCGGAGGTCCTTGCCGCGCAATACGCGTACCTGCTCAAGCCAGTGTGCCCGAAGCAGTTGGCCGACATAGGTGAGCATCTGAAGGCCGTTGCAGCTGAAGCGATTGTGGCCGATGGCTGCATGCTGGTGGCCTGGGCGGCGCAGATGCGGCTGGCACAACTGGCGGCGGCGCTGGCTCCCGTGGCACGCGACGAGTGGTGGGTGGAGTGCCAGATGCCGGCACTGGAGGCGGCACGTGCGCACGCGCGGGCGGTCATGACGATGGCACTAGCCGAGTGGGTGGCAGCAGCACCAGCAGATCTTGCACTTGTCCTTCACCGCTGCGGCGCGATCTTTGCCATTGACTCGATGCTGAGCGTGTTGGCGCTAGCGGCCGATGCCGGCGTGGTGTCCGGCGTCGAGGCTCTGCTCCATCAAGCTCGGGGGCAGCTGGTAGCGGATCTGGCCGACGATGGGGCCGTGCTCGTAGATGGCTTTGGGTTTCCGGACTTTACTATCAAGTCGCCGCTGGCGTTTGCAAGCGGCGATGATGCATATGGCGCATACCTGCGGCGGATCGGCAAAGCAGCTGCCGTGCTTCCGTCGCGCGCCGAGTACTGGAGCCGGGTCATGGCGTCCAAGTCGAAGCTCTGATCATGAGCTGCCCGAGTCCTGTGTCCGCGGATCGGCGACGCGCATGAAGGGGAAGGGCTTGCGCTTGTTGAGCGTGATGTCATCGTGGTAGAGCGCGTTGCGAGCGAGGATGCCGGCGCCCATGCACGCCGCGCCGGTAACGACCGCGATGAGCGGGTACGCCTCGGCGACGTTCCAGGTCTTGATGACTGAGCGAAGGGTGTTGGGAGCACGAGTAGCCATGATGAGCGAGTTGATCGAGTGTGTTAAAGCTGCGGTAGAGCTGTTTGGGTGATGTGGCGAGACTTATTCCGCTCCATCAGCCCTCGTCCCTCCAGCGTTTTATCCCTTCCTGCCCCAACCAAATCCAACCCACTTGCTCTGCCCGACGCGACAGGCCACCCACAATTTTTCACCCACCGGGTCACCCCGGGTCACCCCGGGTCACCCCGGGTCACCTCGACAAGCCAGTGCAGTCTGGTGCAGAGATGGGCGAGGCAACGCGTGCGGGCTTGTTCGGCACCCTTTGTCTTCATTGGAGGCAAGTTGGTCCACTCCCCAGCGACAGCGAGCTAATGGTGGGTAGTGCCCGCAACTCGAGCCCACGCGAGCGGCTGGCAAGTACGGCTGAGCGCGGCGCGGCTCGAGTCGACGACAGCATGGGCTGGGACGAGATGGCGCTAGTGATGGGCTCGGTTGTGGTGGGATGCACACTGCTGGCCATCCTGGTGTGTGTGTACTTGTACTTGGCCGACGACTCGAGGTTCTTCCCACTCGCCTCGTATTTCTTTGATACCCGTGCCCTGCATGAGCTGTAGGCCTTCCCCCCTGCACCTCATGCACCGGCACCGTGGCCATCGCGCGGCAGTGGAGCGATGACTACACAGAACGGTGTGGAATGGTCACTGTCGCCGCAAGCGAAGACTCAGCCAAACTTGGCAACCCGCCCCGGCGGCGGGGTGTAGGCGGGCGGGGCCTCTGGATGGGCTACAGATATGGGCGCAGCTCTGGCGGGGGCGTTTGCCAGCAAAGGCGGAGTGGCCGCCGCGTGTGTGTCGTCGGCAAGGGCCGCGAAGATCTTGATGGCCATCAGCCGGCCGACTGCGATGAGCAGCAGCACAATGCCGAGACCGAGCGCCGTGTGACGCTGACCCGATGGCGCGGATGTGTATGCCACTGCCAGAATGAAGAAGGTCAGCCCCCACGCGCCGGCCGCGCCCGAGATCAACCAGTCCCTCGTGGTCAGCTCGCCGTGGCGACGACGGCCCAGCCCGAGCATCATCATCACGCACAAGCTTCAAATACTGGCTCCAGCAATCAGTCCAAAGCCAGCGTACCACCTCGAAGCGTTGCAGAACTTATGTCGTAGCCAAGTGTGGTCTTCCGTCGAGGCTGACCGGCTTGGTTAATCCCTCCCTCTCCTGCCTACGCACCTGCCGCCTGCCGACGAGCTGGCGCCCGCACCCGCATCTCCCCCCCCTGA